CAAGGGGAAGCGAAAGGCTGACTGACGCACGAGACCGATCGCTTTGCAGAGAGGGAGGCTGCATATCCGGTCTGTGTCTCGTTGGTGGGAAGAGGCATCTGGGTAGGTAGGTATCATTGATGATTTGGTGTGCGGCTGGGATGCTCTGCTCTGCTTCGCTGCGTCTGCGTCTGCGAGCGTGGTAGGCTTCTTTACTCGTACTCCAGAGACTTGTCTGTACTGGGATATCCGAAATCGCCGGCGATGGAAAGGGGGAGTCAAGAAGACAGATGGACGAGGCTGGGATCTGGGATCTGGAAGCAGGAAAAGAAAGGAGAGGGAACGAGATAACAATGATGTGAGATTTTGGGGGGGGGGGGCTATGGATTGGAATGAAAATTGGATTTGGACTTGGATTGAGATGTAAACGAAGGAGAAGCACCCACCAAATTCCGTGTCTTTAACGCTAGAGCTTTGTACTGTCAACCCAGATGTACTGGCTTCTACATCGCACCGTCCCACCCAGTGCTCTCATAACGCCCTCACTTCCCTCGTTCCCATCACAAACATCCGAATGCACCCACCCGCTCCCCCCATCGAAACCCAAGTCCGCGAACTCCCCCCTCCCCAAGCGGCCCACCAGCTCTTCCGCAACACCCCTCGCCAACCCCCTCTCCCTGTAGGCCGGCAGCACGTACAGCGCGGCGAGACCTCCACCAACACCCACCAACCCCCAGGCCACCATCCGGCCCTCCCCATCTCGCACGCCGATGCTCGGCTGGAGCTTCCACGTCGCTGCTTGGCGCGGGACAGAAGAGACGACGGCGAGACGACGATACCGAGCTGATCCTCGGGGACCCGCGCCGTCGTATATCCGCCGGGCAGAGAGCAGAAGAGCGCCTTCCCGGGCGCCTCTCGCAGCCGCGCTCGTGGCTGTCGGCCCGCGCCACTGGTTCCACGTCGTCGTCGTGGCTCGAGGGACGGCCTCCTCGCGAGCGGTACCCCCCGGCTCCGCGAGGAGGATGGTGCCGATCGTCTCGTGCGGACAGGCGAATCTGAGGACGGGTGAGAAGGGCTGGCCTGGCGCTTCTGGGATCGGGACGTCTTTCAAGATGAGGACGGTGGCTTCTATGTGTTGGGCGAGGAGCGATCGATGGGCTGCTGGGGGGGTGGAGGGTGACTAGCGGGTTGAAGAGCCATATTTGAGATTCGAGGTGGCGAGAGCGGTCGGCGAAGAGGATCGTGTAGGTCTCTGGTATGAGCTCGGGGGGGGGGGTGGAAGGTGGGAATGTGGCTGCGAAGAGGCAGCGGCGGGGTGGAGTGTTGTGGGGTGCCAGGATGCGATTGTAGAGTGGGTTGCTGATGGGGAGATGGGGATACAGGATTGGCGGAAATCTCTCGATGGCCGCTTCCTGGGCAGGAATATAGAATTGGATGGATGGTCCAGCCATCTTGTTTTCGGGGGGTGCGAGGTGTGGACGTGTGGTGCGGAGGAAGCTGACGGAAGCTACTATATATCTGGTGAGGTAGGTAGGTGGTACATTGGACGACACTTGACAATATCTCAGCCTTCGAGGGGATTCGGGCTTAATTGAGTTGTAGAAAGCCCATTCAACGCCTCAAGTTACCCTTGCGTAGACTGGATTCCAATATATACGAGGTTGAGGAAGTATCACCAGTCACTTCAACTTCACGGGCATGCTTCGAGTTGCATCCGATATCGTTTCCTCCAGCCCTGAAGTCCGATCCGAAGATTGACCGCGAGCCGAGTTGGACCATCTCCCCCTTTTCCACTTCCCTTTTCAGACGCAGTGGTTCTTCGGCCTCAAGTCATATTCAGTCACTGTATATATTTCCTTATTCTAGCTCCATATTTCATTCTGATTCAAATAACAATATGCCTGCATACCCATCTGAGCCTCGTGCTTCAACTCTGAAGTAAAAATAATCACGCAAGTGCCACTGAACGATTTGACTCATATATATTTGATGTTTGGGCCCTTGAAAAGGTTCCTAAGCAGATGGAACAACTATACTCATATCTCTCTTAAGCCTACCCGATGAAGAGCCAATTCCACAAAGCTGACGGGTCATGACCTCGCATCAGTACTTCCCTGGAAGGGAAGTTGACCGTAAATACACAATGCTGCTCAGTCTTCATTACGTGACTTTCTTCTAGACTCATGATAGAGAGATATATATCTATATATATCAAGGAATATCCCTAAAAGCAGGTCGAGCTTTCACACCTGCGACCTCCCTCATCCATCGGACATACCGCTTCGCCATCAAGCATCCTGACCCAAAAGCCGACCATAACTTATTTCTCATCAGGGAAGCACACACGCGCACACACGCACACAAGCCAACCAACCCAACCTCTTCAAAGCCCCCCATGACCCGACCGAAAACCCCGTTGGAAAAAAAAAAACCATAACTCCATCGTCCCCCGCGATCAGCAGTAGTCCAGACAACATCCCATCCATAACAAGCCACCAAAAGAAAAAGAAAAAAAAAGAAACACTTCCAAAACTCAATCACCCACCCTAATACCGTTCGTTCACAGGAGCCCTGGCCTCCCCTGCCCTCCTCTCGATCCAGAGCACACCCGCTCCGAGAAAATTGTACGTGGAATTCCGAGATCTAGCTTGGAGGTTCCCTAACTGAGTGCAGCTTACCTCTAGCGAGAGAGGCTCTGCTGCATACTAGCTAACGAAGCTCTGTCATGCACGTACGTGAAAACCAGATGTCTGGGAAAAGCTGGTCTTTGCGAACGAAGGTTCACGCTGCGAGGGTGATCTCTATCTCTCTAGGCGGATTGAGTGAGTTGGAGAGGTAATCAGCTCAGCTAAACGTAGTACATAGGGGAAGACAGGGGGCGCGCAGGATATGTATAGAGAGTGGAATATCTCGACGATCAAATTATTATACAAATTAATTTTTTTTTTCTATTTTTATATATATTGATATGGGCATGCAAAGAATGCCGTTGAATTATACGGAATGGCGATCACCAACTAGCTACAGAATTTATGAGCAGCATTATCCAAATCAATGATTACATGATATCCATTCCCATGCCCTTTCGCGCCTCAACCTCACGCTTCCGCATCCGCAAACCCGAATCACTCTCTCTCTCTCCATCTTACACACCGCACCATCTCCTTCCTCCCCTCAACACCTCTTCCATCTTTTCCCATCTTACTCGTTTCTCGTTACTCGCTCATTATCCGAGAACGAGAACGGCTAGCGGCAATCAACCTGCGTCACACGAATCCGCCCCCCTCTTTCGCTCTCGGTTTCCCTTTCCCGTGTCGGAAATGACAACTATCGAGGTATACCTCGCTGTGTATACATTCTAGCGGTACGACGCCGCGGAGAAGAAAGATGGACGGATGAAAGTGCGTACTGTACTGGTAGTAGTAGCTAAAGGCTTAGATCCGCAAGCGTGAATCAGAGAGGGAGGGACGTTCGTTTTACCGGTACCGGTACTTTATCTCCTTCTTTCGATAACGATTAATGATAACGATTAACGATAAGATGGGAAAAGTGGAGCTTGGAAAGAAAAAGAGCTCGTCCAGACTCCAGAGGAGAGGGGTGTTTTCAAGGGTTTTTTTTTTTTCGGATTGTGTGTATATACCGGTATACACTCAAGGCTTAACCGAAAAAAAAAAAAATTTGGGGGAGGAGGGGCGCTTAATTTGGTCAGTCAGTCTAGGTACTTACATCCTACTTATCTATCGGACTTGGCCTTCTATCGGACGGACTTGGCCTTGAAAGGAGAGCTTTGACGAGCTTTCTTGGACTTTGGAGTCGAGAAGTGAAAATATGAGTATCGAAGTTGTGGACTTTGATCGCGTATACTCCGAGCTTTTTTTCTTTTTTCGTATCTATCTATCTTAGTCGTAAAGGAGACGCACTACTTACCTAGTCGTGGTCATTCGTTCCGAGCACCAACTCTTTCGAAGGTAGTAGAGGATGATAGCGATTGGGGCGATTTAAATAAATAAGAGAAGAGAGAATAGTACCGGGTAATCGACTTGCTGGATTGTATGTACGCCCTTTGCCTTGCACGTCTCCGCACTCTCTCTCTTTGAAAGGTCCTTCAGGCGAGGAGCGCTTGCCGCTAGACGGAAATCGATACTACTATTACTACGATACTACGATACCGGTACTACTATCTCTGGCCGTTGAAAAACGGTTTGTCTGAGACTTACAGCATGACATGACTAAGCGGCCCTACCCCATACAGGTGGTTATCGCGGGGCAAGAAGGGTTCATAACTCGCCTTTACCTTAATTCGAATCTTGCTCAGTGTTGACAGCCCTGTACACCATCTCTGCATTTTTTTATAAAAAAAAAAACCCAGAAATAAACAAGTCTTGTGTCCTCGAGGAGATAAAGACAACGCCCAGTGCCCACGAGGACGACATATATAGTAAACAGCACAGCTGGGAATCCGCGACCATGCCGGGTGTCTCCAGGGACGAAGGAGGGGCACAGGCCAACCGCCGAGCAACACCAAACAGCCGACGACGACCTCTCCCCAGCCTCCCAACCACCCGATCACAACCAGAACCAGAAGATGCCGACCAATCCGCCGTAGCAGCAGAGAGCTCGAGCCCCTCCTCGGACACCTCCAGCGAAGATGACGAACCCGCTGCCGCCGCCGCCGCCGCTGCCGACGTCCCTCCCCCGCCGCCGACCTCGATGGCGAAGCAAGAAGCCGCCTGGTGGGCCATGAGTTTCGAAGAGCTGTTCCAGTACGCCCGCGAGTACTACCGCACCCAGGGCCACGCGGCGCGCGGCGCCCCGCGGTGGAAGAGCGGCCGCGTGCGGATCATCAAGTGGCTGTGCGACAACCACGGCATCAGGCAGTACGTGGCGCCGTCGAGGCCTGCCCGCGTCGACGACGACGCCCCGCCCGTGGACCAGAGCCCCGTGGTGCGGCCCACGGGGGCCATCTCGCACCCGGAAGCGATCCTCCGGACCTCGGATCCGGAGCTGCAGCAGAAGATCGCGCAGGCCGCCGCCGGCTACAGGAAGTGGCCGGCCACGGCGCTGGTGGAGCTCGCGATGCAGCGCTCGTACCAGCTGCTGAAGGATAGCCACGGGAAGCTGCCGTCCAAGTCGGTGGCTGCCATCTCGGACTGGCTCGCGGCCTGGGACGTCCTGAAGAGTGAGAGGGAGAAGAAGTGGTGGTTGGGTGACGGCATCGATCTGGTGAACAAGGCCAAGGCGATCGGTTATGAGGGCAGCTCGAAGAAGTACGATGTTATCCTCTGGCTGAGAAACACGCCCGAGGAGGTGGATGGGGAGATTGAGCACGTGGCGGCGCCGACGGACAACAAGGCTGCGAATGAAAAGAAGAGGAAGGCGGAGAGAGAGGGGGAGGGGGAGGGGGAGCCGGTCAAGACGCAAAGTAAGAGGCCGGCGAAGGGGAGTATGAGACCCGGAGGCTGGCAGGCTACTCCTGGCAGCTTGAAATCGAAGAGGCAGGGCCAGCGGGGAGTATAAAAGCACACCGACTGATCGTGCTATAAAGAATGACTTATACGCATAAACGAGAGTTTTAAGCCTCAAGTCTGCTTCTCTAACGTTAACACGAAGGCACAATGCTACGCTATCTAGCTCATACCACAAAAGACGTAATGATATCTAGTCCACGTAGTAAAAACTACCTATTAACAATCCAATTTGCTATTTTATATTAATTAAACAGCAAAGAAATGTATCGTCGTATGTACACATATATGCCTGCCGATTTCAGCTCAAGATGGCCACAAAGTTCAAACCAAGAAATACATCACCATCTGTAACAAATAAACGACTGCCATTCTTTATAATACTCGCATATATATCCATCTCGACTGATCGTGCTATAAAAAATGACTTGCACGCATAAACGAGAGTTTTAAGCCTCAAGTCTGCTTCTCCAACGTTAACACGAAGGCACAATGCTACGCTATCTAGCTCATACCATAAAAGACGTAATGATATCTAGTCCACGTAACAAAAATTACTACTAGCAATCCAATTTGCTACTTTATATTAATTAAACAGCAAAGAAATGTATCGTCGAATGTATATATGTATGCTTGCCGATTTAAGCTTAAGATAGGTATAATATTTAAATTAAAAAATATATTACTATTTATAACAAATGAACGACTGCCATTCTTTATAATACTCGCATATATATCCATCCCGAAGTAAGGCGGTAGGGAGATAGAATGCCGGGTACCTAGATAGATGATTCACCTGCTGCACATTTCTCATCCCAACGCCAGGCATGTTAGTATCTCACCGTTCGCTCTGCGTCAATCACACGCATAGTCCGAGTGCTCCCCTTATCTAACACGTATAGATATAAAATACATGTGTGTATGTAGCTGAAACACCTTAATACGAAAAGAGACTATGTAGAAGTCTTGATACTCTACATTTATACATCTCCCGTCCCCTGGTCACCCACCTCCTTCTCCTCTCTCTCATCCCCAGCCAAAAACCTCCGCGACACCCACCGTATTGACCCTGACGCCCACCAGCGCGAACAGAACGCCCACGACGTCGACGATCAGCAGGACGAATGCCGCACTCATGAACTTGGGGCTGAAGATCCGGTAGAGCATCAGATGCCTCCGCAGATGCCCCGCCCACATCGTCGTCGCCAGCCCGACCACGGCATAATACGCCACGTGCCAGGCCAGGGCCGCCGCAGCGCCCTTCAGCAGTGCCTTCTTCCGGGGCTTCTGCTTCCACAGTACCACTAGCGGTAAGGCGATCACCGCTAGGATTTGCGCGCCGAAGGTGTTGAGTGCCACGAGGACGGGGGAATAAGGGTAGGTAATTGTGTAGAGGGGGATAAAAGCGGATTCCCACTGGATGGAGGAGAGTGTGGCTTGGTGCCCCGTTTTGAAGAAGTGGAAGGAGCCCAGCAGAGCGAGGACGACAGGGCCGATGGGGGAGGTGGTTAGGGCGTTGAGGTCGAGGATCTCGACCAGTGACAGGATTTGCCATGCCATAAGACTGAGTGCACCAGCGCCCATAGGCTTCTGCACTAGCAGAAGGCAAAGCAGGAAGTTGATCACAAGAAGGAAGTAGCGGGTGCCGTGTGTGTTGGCGAAGCCCATGATGGTGACTGTAGTGCCGGCGCCGTTGGTCATTTGAGCGTCCGGGGAGGAGGGGGCAGCGGTTTGAGAAATTGAAACGCAGGGAGGTGCGTAGAGCCACGCTGGACAGCCAACACCGACAGCGATGGCGAAGAGGCTCTGGGCGATGAGGACGCGGATCACCTTGAGGCGGCCGGAGGGGATGTAGGAGGAGAACCATTCGGCGTCGTCGGCTGCGTCGAGGGTCCAGAAGATGGCGCTCCAGAAGAGGAGGCCACGGAACATCCAGCTGATCCAAGCTGGAGCAAAACCATCAAAGGACAGACTGCCCTGGTAGTAGGATTTAATGATCGAGGGGAGTATCATGGCGATGAGAAAGGGGATAGCAAGCTGCCATGGTGCGGATGTGGAGGAGGTACTGGAGGCGTAGTATGTTGACCTGCAGTAGGGCATCTGCTCTTCTCTGCAAAGCTTCGAAAAAGAAGCCACCCAGCCAAGGGCAACAAAGAGAACAGAGTGGTAGACACCAAGTGTCCTGTCCGGCACATGCTCTATACGCAGCGAAGAGATTGCTGCAGCAACTCCAAATGTAGAGATGAAGAAGAGGAGAATAGAGTCCTCCCAGATCGTATACGAGTTCGAAGCGAACCCAATCGACTGACTGACTGTAAATATCAAAGCCAACCAGCCCCAGAATGTGGTCGGTAAAGGACTAGCGAACGCCATTCTCCTTCTCATCTCCTGATAAAGAACGCCTATAATACCAGAAAGAGCACAGCCCCCCAGCACAAAATCGAAGATAGATTCCGGCTTCAGCGCAATGAAGAAAGTTGGCCCACCAACAGCTCCAAGCAAGGCACCCATCAGTGCTCCACGGACAAGTGACCGGCTGGTAGTCTCGTCATCTTTCTTGAAGTTCTCGCCGTTCCCGAAACTGTCGATCTCCGATTGCAGCTCCTTGCGGTGCAACTCTGGATCGTCGACTGCATCTCCATCTTCAGCATTGCTGTTCGCAAAAAGAATCAGAGCCAGGACACCAGCCGCTAGGATTCCAACACCAAGAAGCATACTGGGAACATCGAACCTGGCCCACAGGCCTCGACAAATGTTGAGAGTCTCTACTTGGAAAGCAGAGAAAGCAGCATACGTTTCCTTCCACATCTGCTGCTTGCCTGCACCAGCAAAAGCCGCCACGGCAGTTTCCCACAAGGCATGGGGCGTGCCATCGACAGTGCTCTCGTCAATACCACGAGCCGTATAATACGCAGCCTGATATCTCTTGATTCCAGCAGCTGTCATCCTCGCCACACTAGCGAGATTTTCCCACGCGTCCCCCTTCTTCCCGGCAAAAGCCTCCTCAATGGGCTTTCCCAAATTATTGAACGGAATCGGCAGACCTAGCAAGAGGGCCAGCGTAGGCACTAAATCGATCTGCTGAACAGGTCTTATCTTCGCGTTCTCGGGGGGCGTGACAAATGCAGGATCAGTGCGTCCAAAGACTCCCTTCTTGGAATACATCCACAGCGCAGCCTGCACCTCGTCGTCGCTTTCTCCCCCATGGTCGCCCTTACTATCCATCCCATGATCGCCCATTACAACCAATAGCGTGTTCTCATCCAGACTCTGCACCACCTCCCGGAGCACTCCATCCATCTGCAGCAGCTTGGCCGTCATAGCCGGATGGTTCGGCCCATACCGGTGACCGGCATGGTCCACGCCCAAATAATGCGCAATCATAAGGTCCCACTCCCCTTTCCTCTCCTTCCCCAGGAGCGGCATGATGTGCTCGTTCACACCATTGTCCAGCGTGTGAAGATCCCAGACATTCAAGCTCGGGTAAGCCCTACTAATCCCTTCCTCGAAATACCCGGGGAAGAGCGCCGTCCAAGTATCGTCTCCCAGATGCACGATTTTCCTCCCCGCGTCTTTCAACTGCATGAGCAGGTTATCCTCCGCAATGGCATCACCGGCAAAGTTACTGCCCATGTCAATGAACGTCGGCAGCGTCCCCGTCGTCAGACCTTTAATCCTCTGCAGCGTCGTCGTCGGCGGGTCCGCAATGAAAGGTAACAAGAAGGCATTATTCGGTTGCTTAACCGCCGTCTCGTACAAGAACGGCAGCGAGTTGTGAAAAGGCAGCGCGGGGCCGCTCTCGCTGTCATTGGCGAAGGGGATGGTGAAATCGTAGCGCAGGGCGTCTATCACGACCACGACGGCTCTCTCGAAGGTCTTGGGATGCCAGCATCCCCCTGCCGGCGTCCCGAGGCCTTCGAAGACGCTGTGGACGGGGAGGGGAGAGTCGGCGCAGGTGGATTTCTCGGAGAGGACGAGGCGGGTCAGGAGGAATCCTTTCGTGAAGAAGTAGATTCCGGAGGCGTGGACGAAGCTGCGGTAGAAATCATTAGCCCAATATCCTCCTCCTCCTCCTCCTCCTCCTCCTCCTCCTCCAGTTCCCTTTCTTTTTCCGCCCACCAATGATCGCCACTCACAAAACCCAGCCGAAGAACGCCACAAGCCACGCCCACTCCCCGACGAACTTCGCCCTCTTCTTCTCGTTCAGCCTCTCCACGACCGTCTTCTTCCTCCCCATCCCCGCCACCCCCGCATTCTCCATCATCTGCCGCACCATCTTCTCCTCCTCGGTGCGGCGCGCATCGCGCAAGGTTTGGGCGCGGGAATGCGACTGCGACTGCGACTGCGACTGCGGCGCCGGGCTGGAGGGCTGTGGCGTGGCCATCGCTTTGGAAAATCTTGGGAAGCTTGGTCTTGCCCCCTATCTTAATTTTTGGAATCTAGATTTGTGGCTTTGATGATAACAAGTGGTTTAGTTTATTTGGATAAGGACTACCGAAGGCGCAGGCGCAGGATATAGGCCATTGAAAAAGACAGATTGGAGCTGGAGCTTCTCAGTCTCAGACAGACGGATGTGTATTTTGGGGTGGGGGAATTGACTTGTAATGAGGGAGGAAGGGTGGATGAAGTACGAGTCGCGTGGGGTGGACGCGATTTTTTTTTATTCTTGGGCGTACCGTACATTACTCGTATTTACGCTTGGCTCCAATCCGAGCTCGAGTCGATCAACGGCGGATTCTCAACAATGTCACTCGCAGTTTCCCCACCAGTTTCGCGATGTTCGATCAGACTGCTCCTAAGTACTAATGGTATATTCGAGCCAGCTAGTTGTTTGTAACCCCGTAATATATATATATATATATATACCTACATACATCGTACAATGCATTCGAAGCTTCTATCAACAAGAGGAAATCCATTCCTTCTCACGGAACCAGAGTACTTCTGCTATATGGTTCCCATCAGATAGAATGAAAAAGGAAACTCCCAATTGAAGAAGAGCGATTCGATATTCCCGTGATATCGCGTGCTAAAAGCACAATAGAGCTCATGTGAAAAACGGAATCGCTTGAATGCTGCGGAACTCTGACCTCTGCCTGCATAGGCTACAATTGATACGTCTTCCCCACTTGCATCTTCCCTCCATCCCATCCCCTCTTGGCTGCCGCGATCTTCTTTATGTTCGCCTTAGCGTTACCAGTCTCTTTCCTCCTTCGCACTTGGCAACCCACTCGTTAGAGAGATAACCCTTCGATCCAACTACAGAGCCAAGTTGTACGAGTACTCATCCTCCATGTTCTGGCTGATCCATAGTACCACGGAGCTACAGCGCATCAGCAACACATCTCCCCTTCTCCGAGCCCGGGCTCCAGAGAAACTCACCTCATCATGACCCCCGCGTTCGCAATCAGATTGCTGACCCCCATCCCCATCGTCGGCCACGGCGCGCCCGCCACGGCATACTTCAGCACCAGCACCGTGACACCGCCGGCCATGCCGCCCGCCAGGCTCGCAAACCCCATGAAGAGCACCACGCGTGCCTTCCACGCCACTCCGGAGCCCGAGTAGGAGAAAGAGTCCGCCGACAGCCGCGTCTTCTCGATCGAGTTGATGATCAGCATGCCGAGGGAGGAGAAGATGAAGGGCAGCCAGTCGACGAAGGTGATGTGGATCGAGGAGCCGTTCTTTGCGGAGTGCGACCACACGGCCGCGTCGAGGAGGATGAAGAAGGCGAGAGAGAACTGTGGTGGGGGGTTTAGCCGTGGTTCCTCCCATTCAAGACGAGCTTTGCAGAGCCGTAGATAGATGCTGGTAAGGAGAGCGCAGCGAGGCTATTTCGCCCATCCTGCCACAACTCCTCTATCCACATCCATCGCATCTTGCCATCGCATAGTGCATCCCCAAATCCATACTCCAAGCCCTCGATTCTCTGCGAGAGCCAGCCACAAAAGCCAAAGTGAACTCACCAAAGCACCAGCTCCGTACACCCCCGCGCTCCGCGCCGTGGCGCTATTCATCCACTCCGGCTTCCTGAACTTCCAGAGGTGCTCTTCCGACATCTCTCGATTGGCTTGCTTGCGGTTCCTTACGGTCCGTTCCTTGCCTTTCTCCCAAGTATTCGATCTGTGGTGGTGTTTCGCTTCAGCTTCAAATCTCCTTCGTTGTCTGTCGTTGTTTGTGGAAGGGGTTTGGTCGAAGAGGTGGATTGGACATCGAACTGTTGCCGCTGACGGAGCTTTGGGTGGCTAGCGCAATCTGTGACCCCACTTGTTTCAACTCCCCCAAGTGAGGCTCTGCTCCAGCGTCACCTGATCTTTCCAGTCTCGAGGAATCGAGCCACAGTATGAAATAATTAATGTAAAGCCTTGATTCACTATCAACCTCTCACCTATTAATATTCCGACTAAGCTGTCTGTCGCCCCTTGAATAAGCGCGCACAAAGCAGCCTGCCCCTAAAATCATCCGCAGAAAAAGCAGAATGCATCGTCCTCATTCGTGGTATACTCTACAAAGCCATCCATCCCTCTATGTTTTATACCCGCAGTGTCTCCCCGTCGCCTCAAGCATAAAGATCTTCCGCTAGTTTAATTGTACAACAAAAGTGTGCCGATCCACTCCCACTCCATCTGGAAGGACATAAGAGAAACAAACCCGCTCCGCCTGGGCCCGCCGGATTCGAATCGAATGAGAAGAGAAAGCTCGGTCATCCCGTACACGTCGTGGATGCTATTTATTGATTTCAATTACGCCTGTTGACCGCTGATCTCCCAGAATATTTTGTGTGGGAGCGTGTGAGAAAGTGAGGCCCAGGTTACATAGACCCCCAAATGCATGCCATCATTATGACAGGTGTTTCCTCCATGAAGAGAAACTCCCATATTAGCATGCGCCCCGAACGCCTTCATTTCGTGTGCGGTTGTGAAAAATATCAAGGCTGAGATTCTAGATCTCTATCGTCTTCATCGTGGTATCATCCTCAACTGTGGCCTTTTTAAGGGCGCCATTGGTTAATTCGGTTGTCTGGACATCCAGCTCGACCTTCTTATTTTCCTTGTTGTCATCTTCCAGTGTAGCAGATTGCAGTAGCGACTCTAGAGTCTTGGTCGGCTTTTGCGTCTCTCTAGTCTCCTCACTGGGTCTTGGGGTCTCAACCTCGACAAGTTTCTCGTGCTTGATACCATTCGTATGTACTTTGATTGGAGGGGGTATGCGTTCTTCCTGTACACGAGCGAGGGGGCTGGATTTTCCGTAGTTGGGCCGATTTGGGCTTGATACCGGCGATGCTCCGCTGAATCGTTGCATGGAGCGTCCTCGAGGCTCACCACTGGTCTCGGCGGTGGGGCTGGAGTATGGCGAGTTTATTGGCGATATGCCAGCCTGCCCGTTCATGCTTGCTGGTGCCTTGCGTCGAACGTTCTTTCGGCCGTACTTCTGGTCCACTCTCCATCTCAAGATATCCAAATATCCAGGCTCAACGTTTCTTGCCTTGAACTCCCTCAACTTCAGCTCGTGGGTATCCTCGTCAATCTCCCATTTGCCACTGTTCAGGTCATCGGCAAATGTCGCAAGGAAAGCAGACCAAGAGCGTGCAACCACGTATTTGCAATCGTAGTCCCGTCCAAAGAGGATGACTTGGCCCCATTTGCCGGTCGGGCCAGGCGCCAGATCAACCGCCAGGTTATTTCCACCCCAATCTCTGACCAGAGGAATCCAGGCCGGATGCGCGTAGACCTTCTGAATGGCACCCGAAGGTTGAGAGTCCTGCTTGGCAAGAAGATCTTGTCTCCAGTGTGGGTTTTGTGTCGGTTGTGTCGGGACCCTGGACGAAGAGGCAGACGAGCTTCCACCGAATGCCTTCACGGGAGGTTTTGGCTTGAAAGTGATAGGCTCCGAAAGATACTCGACGTTGACCTTTTTCCAATTCTCCCATTCTTGTACAATTTCCTCGCAGTCGAGCAGCATCGAGCTGAAGATGATTCCCGTTGGGTTGCCACCGCGCTCCTGGCCATCGTGTACCATCAGTGATTCACGGACTTCCATGGGGAGGGAGCAGTCCAATTGGTGCTCCAGATCGTTCAGGTCGTTTGATGTACAGCCCTCGCAGAGTTGATCGAACAATTCCGGGTAGTGCTCTTCGGCCCACCGGTCGATCCGCTTCCAGGAGTGGCTCGGAGGCGGGGGTGGGGGAAGGCCAGCCTCGAACGGTTGCAATTGGATCTCCCCCGCTGAGGGGGCGTCGAAATTCTCATTGGTATTTGCCCGGTGGAGGTTCGTTCTCATACCCGGAGAGTACGGGGTAGGCGATTGTGGTAAGGGACTGCGGGGCTGGGGTGAGCCGGGGTAAGCGCCGCCGTTCGCGGCAGAAGCATATCTTCCACCATCTTCAAAATACGGTGAATTGATATCGGCTCGGGATTCAGAGGCGTTGGTCGCGACGGACGTCAGTGTTTGGTCGTGCCTGCTTTGCGCTAGGGGAACGTGTTGTCCGGTCCGGTAAGGAGAGTCGTATGAAGAGTCTGTTTACCACGTCAGGTCGGGCTGGTTGGTACTTGGATCAGGAAAGACAAACGTACGTCGGTCGTAACTGGTCATAGTATGCCAGAAGGTCTTGAAGGCAGAGCCGATCCTGGTGATACAGTCACGATTAGCATGATTGCACAAGCAGGCGGGTTGCGATGCGGGGAGGTGGAAGGGAAGAAGGGAATGTTGTATTCTGGCATGCGGGCGACGCGCGAAAGGGGGAGAACTCACGACGCCATATCTGGCGATGGGGGTGTGATTGCAGACAGCGTGAAGTTGGGGATTTGGATGGATGGATGTGTTTCGA